ATCGTTGGTAAAGCGCGCCTCCTCTGCACTCCTGGGACTTTGATTCACATTGAATTCAGATCTTTCACACCTACGTTACTCATTTGACCTGATTTCTGAAGCCTCTGAAAATTTTGGAAAAAGTTCAAGTTACCACTCCAGTATGAAGTCATTTTTAACAGCTGAAAAAGTTGCCGAATAACTTTTTTTTTTTTTTTTAAATGCATATGTGTTTGCATCTGTTTGCTTTTTCCTAATTTTCCAAGCACAGAAATGCTGTACTTCAATGTAGCTGATTTTACATAGGTTTTCTGATGCTACCAGAGCCAAAATACACTGGAATACAGTCCAGGAAGTTGCGTTTGAATTGCAACCACGTAAAACAACTCGGCTAACTTAATACTCTAATGCGTGCACAATGGCCAAAAAGAAAAAGTTATATGTAGGTGAAGGAAGCAAAGTAAGTACATATGTCTGACTTCCTGCAGTGAGCTCTTACACCAGCTTCTGTCATTTTCACACAGGAATGCATTCAAACCAAGGGCAATAATTTTTCAAAAAAAGTTTAACTTAAAAAAGTTTATTAGACTGAACTTCTACAATGCTTTTCCAGCTATTCTGACCACTCAAAGCGTTTTACACTAGAGTCACATTCACCCATTTAAACATTTATACACCGATATGTAGATCAGTGGACAACTAGGGGTTAAGTGCTTTGCCCAAATGCTCATTGACCTGCAAAAGGAATCAAACCTTCAACCTTCCAATTGCAAGGCCCCTACTCTATCTGCCAGGCCCCCACTCACCCCGAAGGAGGCATTATTTACTCTGAGATATTTGCACTAAGTGTGTCTCACTGTTGCATTACTAAACAGCGTTCTATTCAGAATTGAACGGCTGCTGTAAATTGACATTTGGGACAAATTTTTATTCCATATGCAGAAACGTGATGCTGAAATGTTCATGTGGGAAATGAAGAAGCGTTTGTGTGAATCCCCTTTTGACGGTCGACAGGTTGCCGAAGAAACGCGAGGCACTTTGCCTCCTGGACGTCTGTTTGGAAACAATAAAAAATTGTAGAGGCGAAAGAAAGAGAGGGAGAAATGGGGTAAGGGTTAGAAAACGTAACACCATGCAGCGAGGTGTTAAGAATTTTTCCAGCTCCTGCTGTCGCATGCCTTCAGCTTCCCATATCTTTGCGGTTCTGTCACCCTGAGGCTTCCGGCTCATGTGCGTCGTTTTGGTAATGGTCCACCATTTGCCACTAAACTATGGAGCTTTTCAGTCTTTTTTTTTTTGACAGGTCTGTGATATACTCACTGAATTTTTTTCCAACATTTCCAAGATTTCCCGATTAAATTATAATACACGATGGTCTCAAAAACTTTATTCAAACTAAAAATGGGTGGACAGAGTGTGATTGTCAAGTAATGTGGCTTATTTTACTGAGGTTGTTGTCACTTTGCTGGCTTTTATTTCTTGCTTGCTTTTCATATTTGTAAACAAACCATCTTCTACCTGCGCATTTAAATAATTTGAAGTGTTTGTCATGACCTACTGCAGAAATGTCCAAAATTGTGTGTGTGTGTGTGTGCAGCCCTTGTCCACAGTTCAACAGTAGCAGAGATTTATTTTACCAGATTGTTGATCAAGATGTGCTTAAAACAAACTAAAGTTAATTTTTCACAGATAAAACAAATTATTCAAATATATTAAAAATAAGCAAACAATCAAACAAACAAAATAAAAAAAAAAATAAAAACGGTGATATTGTTGTAGCCTAGAATACATCCAGAATGATTTACAGATTATTTGTGTAAAAATCACTACATCTAATTAGGATTTTTTGGACTATACTTTTTTCCCCCACACTTTGAACCTTGCTGAGTAGTTGATGAGTAGCATGTGATTGTTACAGAGAAATAAAAAATAAAAAATAAAAAATAGATGGAGCCTTCTCCAAGGTACCCACACTAATTGACTCATTTTTCAGAAGATCCAGGAGACGGACTGACACTGTGTTAATGGTGGCGTTTCACCAGGAGCCTCCTGGAAGTCTTCGCCACTTTAGCAACACTTGGACTCTGTTTGTGTAGACTTCACTTGCAGTAGGATAATAGCCTCCAGTTAATCCTCATAGCATTAAGGCTGTCATACTTACTTAGAGTGGAGAAATAAGAAAAAGCTGACCCAAAGTATTTTCTTCTTCTTCAGCTTTGCTTCCCATTAAAATATGTATTTTTCCTGGAAAGGCTTTGCTGTTTAGAAAAACTCCTCCATTCTTGAAAGTAGCAAAAAAAAAAAAAGGTTTGTTTTTGTGTGAATGTTATCAAATGTCAATTACAATGATGATGATCAGCATTTAATTGTAGGCGAGTTGTTCCTTCGTTTTCAGCATATTTTGTATTTGAATTTTTAACATCAAAACCCAGAATTACATTAGAGCTTTATGGAAAAAAAAAAAAGTTACGAAAGCTAAAACAAGTAAACCAACAGCGACAAAGCAATAAATGCAACACTAAACACTTTAAACCCATTTTCACAGAAACTTAAATGTGTCAAAGATAATTACAAATGTTATCCGTCATAGTAAACAGAATATACCCGAGTAAAACGTAGGTCAGTAAAACTTTCATGGCATTTTATTCAAGGGAATGGCATTCTTTAACAGTTTACTAGAAAGTTTAATGGTTTAGTCGACACACAAACAAGTGTGAGTTAGTTAACACACACTTATTGTTTAGTTAACATAGTTAGTTTGACACACAAACACTGTATGTGTCAAACTGATTTAGAAAGATAGATGTTTAATAAAGGTTTTTTTACAACGCTGAGAAATTCAAGTAGAATAAGTAAATAAGTGAAACTTAAAAAAAATTGTGTTGAACAAAATCAACATGTTGTTCTTATAGATTACACGAATGCAAGCAAAGTGCCATTTTAATAAAATTAAAACATCTGTGTGATGTTTGTAGACTAAATCAAGAACATAATCTATATCTCCATTCTACAAATTTTACACTTTTCGGGTCCCAAATTTTGATAATTTCCAACTAGATTTAGCTTCTTGAACATCTTACATGAGAGGAATAAAGATTAAGAGGCTATGAAAAAAATGGATAGATGAATAGATTTTCAGACACCTCCCCCCTACTCTTCACTTAACATTTGATGACTAAATTTAAGGATCTAAAGTTAAATTTATTAAATTGTTTCCCTTAAACTCTCACGTCTTCTTAAACATGTGAAACATAAACATGTTTTTCTGCAGATCTAAATATTTTTGAAAGACAATGATGCCTATCAGCTGACACTCACTCATCCAGCCTCAGACTGAATGTTAAGTGTGTGTGTGTGTATGTGTGTGTGTGTGTGTGTGTGTGTGTGTGTGTGTGTGTGTGCTCATGAAAGAAAGTGTGAGTTTAAATGTGGGTGGGTGAATGTTAGCGTTTATGTATTTGAACCTTCTGGGTTTCTTTTGCACGTTTTCTGCTCATGTAAGCACTGGGAAGTGGGTGTTTGTGTGCAAGTCTCTATGTATGCATGTGTGTGTGCGCGCACGTGTGTGTGTGTGTATGCATGTGTTTTTTGCCCACTCATAACCTATCTTTATCCATGCTGTGATGTCTACAGTAACCTGTTTTCTTTGTTGAAGGGCCCAGAGAATTCTCTGCAGTTTCCTCTGTATGGGATCAGTTTTCTAATATTTAAGTTTATTTTTTTTATGATTGGTTTCTAGTTGAGGCTGCTTTCCTTCTGCTATCAGCAGCCAGGCAGCAGCCTGAGGGAGGACCTGGACTTCCTGGGCACATCAAGCTGTGCAGCGAATGCCTGAACGATTCATATTGTATCAAACTTTAACACCTTGACTCTTCTCTGGCAAAAACACCTGGTACCGCACTTTCTCTCTCCATCCTGTTTTTACTCTTTTTGAATTTTTTTTCCCCTTCCTCTAAACTGGGCTTATTCATGCTGTTGTGTGAATTTTTGGTGTTGTCACACATTCCTAAACTTTTGCTTCATAGGGCTTTTTCAGATCCCAGAAAGAATCGCTGAATCAATATGAATTAATTTCCTCGCTCAAACAAAGAAGACAGAAGATGCTGCAGCTGAGTTCTGTGTAGCTGCACCTGTAGCGTCGCTAACGGCTCACTTAGCTTTTTTTTATTATTTGAGATATATGTGTGTGTGCTAGTGGAATGGTTCAGTTAAATGGATTTTTTTTATTTTTGATGTTAGTGTTCATGTCAGAGAAGACTAATAACAAATTTTTAAAAATTGTAAAACAATGTGAGCTTTTACACTGGAGAAAAACACGATTTTCTTTTCTTTAAATTACAGCATGCGTTCAGATGAGGCCCGCTTGTCTGATTACAAGTGTGTTTTGAAAATAACTCCTTTCAAACCCAAATTTCTGTTTTTCTTTTGTTATTATTTTATTGGTCTGATGCTATATTTTAATTTTAAATGTGACATTTTCATAACCTGCAAGTAGAAAGTCTCCGTAGTTAACAGAAATATAAGCTTTCAAACATCTTTGTGTAATTCATATAATGTTTCAGTTACCCATAAATTTCAGAACTAAATTGTTTTTTCATTAATATTCTGATTTTACTGAACATGTATGAAGAAGAATCTATATATAACAAGAAAGTTTACAAAAAAGCTTTAATATACAGCTCTGGAAAAATTAAAGAAACCACTGTAAAATGATCAGCTTCTCTGATTTTACTTATTATAGGTTTATATTTGAATAAAATGAACATTGTTCTTTTATTCTATGAACTACTGACATCATGTCTCTGAAAGTCCAAGCAAAAATTTAGTATTTATTTGCAGAAAATGAGAAATGGTCAAAATAACAAAAAAAGATGCAGTGCTTTCAGACCTCAAATAACGCAAAGTGCTCTTCATTTGTTCCAGAGCTTTATATTCTATTTTCCTCCTATTATTCTTAGTGGATTTGATTTTTTTTTTTTTTTTTTTGATGTGGTAAATTTTCTTTAACTGCCTGTTTCCACGTGGTTTGAGCGTGTGAGCATGATGGTGATCCTGCTGAACTGCGTGACCCTGGGGATGTACCAACCCTGCGAGAACATCGACTGCTCCTCAGACCGCTGCCAGATATTACAGGTACACAAACCGCACCTCATTTTCACAGAAATGGTGTTTAGAACTGGTCTTCATACACCTACATTCTTAGTAATCCAATAAAAAGTGATAACTATAGGATGTGAGTATTTGAACAGTTGTATATGGAAATAATTGTAATCAATGTCAGTGTAATATTTTTTATGTCTAATCATTTTATTATGCTAAAGTCTACTGAAAATTGGGATTTTAGTGATAATTTGACTTTTACAGTCATAATTATGTTTTATAAGTTTTGCTTAGGATTTTTTTCCCCCATAAAACTGATGCTAATGTCTCCTGGTTTTTATATTCGCATACATGCACATTTTGTACAGTTTTCCTTTAACTACCCAACTCACGTCTACCTTTCTTTTAATTTGACAACGCTCCAGTAGTATTTTTCATATTTTGTAAATATTCCCATACTGTATAATCTCTTTACAGATTATACAGAATAAAAAAAATATGGTATTTTTTATTCTGTCATGTTTTAATAAAGGGTCACCATTCATTATTAGGGAGTGGTTCTGATATTTAAATTAGGCTGAGTCTCCAATAGCTTTGGTATCAAGCTGCTAAACACAGAACCGCCTTTCTTTAATGCCAGAAGTGTCTTTAGTGGGTGTAACACCTGCACTCAAGTGTGTGCATACATGACTTTAGTCTTTTACTGGAAGCCACTTCTTAAACCAACTTGCTCTCCTTTTCCTTACATTCTCAAACACACACACACACACACACACACACACGGCGCGCGCAGACAGGCACATCTTGGAAACACTGGCAGTAGATTGATTTAACTCTCTAAGGGGGCCCGATTGTTGAGTTGGACCTAATAGAGTTTCCCCTCCAAGTATCTATGGACTCTGTTTAATAGCAAAATGGATTTAGTGAGCAGCTTCACCAGAATCAATGGAGTTCTTTCAGAACATTTGTGGTTCAATAACATATTGTTTAATGCTGGACATTCAGCTATCTGTGAACTCTAACGCATGTGGATCTTCAGATGAGGCTTTGTCTTAACTTGTAATAGATGGTTGGTGGTTCAGTAGGTCTTAGTAGATTTTACACCATTGTGCACCAAGATGAGTAGATAAAACTAACAAATTAACGAAAAGTGAAATGGAGAAAACGTTTTCAGTAACTGAGATTTTTATATATATATATATATATATATATATATATATATATATAAAGGCATTTCAAACTATACCTATAGAAATGATGGACATAATACCCTTCATTTTCATGTTTATGTATCTATTTATTAGCCTTTTGAACTGATGTGAAGTTGATTTATTTAATTATTTATTTATTTATTTTGACAACTAAAAAGTAACAAGACTAAACTAAACGTTAAAAAACCTGAAAACTATTCTAACCCTGGTGTACAGATATTTCTGATTGTACCTGTGAAAACAGAATCAGAAAACAGTCGTTGCAGCTTCGCACAAAGTACCAGAGAACAAAGTCACAAAGTTGTTGCAGCATCAACTGCTGCAGCTTCTCCACTGGCCCTCAAGATGACCGTAAATTGACTTCTGTATACTTTGAGTGGCCCAGGGTAATACCACACTGTATTGAAGTCGTCAGTCAAAAAGGCTGTAAAACGTGAACCCAAGAGAAGTCGTTGCAAAACTCCGACAACAGCAGCAGCTTGTCCTCTTGAGTGTTTCAGACTGTGTGCTCCATAGATCCTGACTTACTAAAAATCATACTTTTCCCTTTTTTTCCTCAAAGCCTTCACTGAATAGTAAGACTTTACAACATGATGGTTAAAGTGTAACCGCTCTGTGGATGTTATGTAGATCACCAACCATTAAAATCATGTTTCAAATTGTGCACAATATTAATTTATGAAGTGAGCAAAACAAGGAAGTTCTGTATATGGAGGTTCCTCTTTGCTTGTCCTAAAGGGTCTTGTAACAGTACAGATACTATTTTCTTTTTTTTTAAATCAAATTTTATGTTAATTTTTCATCATGATGAAAAAAATGTGAACAACCCAAACGACTGTGTAAAAAATTTTTAACCCCCAAAAACTTTTTAACCCAATATTTGTTCAAATCTACCCAACCCGTGATCTAACAGGGTTAGTCAAGCGGTTAGCTTCCGATAAATTGCTGACTCAACTCCTGAGTTATGATTTTTGACCCAGTATTTGGTCAAACTAACCCCTGTGACCCAACGGCTTGTACCCAGCAGACGGGTCATCAAAATAACCCAGCATTTTTAGGGTGCATTGATTGTAATATGTTGGTTCATTTCTGTAACCCCAACCCTTTTGTGATTTTGAAATATAACCTATTGAGTCAAAAACAAATCTAACTACATCAAAGCTATCTCTGTATGCAAGTACAACCTTACATACTTCTAAGATGCAGGAAGGTTCCAAGTACGATTTTAAGTATCTGGGTTGGTCTGCTACTGACAACGTTTATATAGACAGGTTATTTAGTCACGAATATTATTCATAAGTAATAATTAAAGTGATTACATATCTGAGTCAACAATAACTGTGGTAGAATGGATTAAATTTATCACAGGTTCGTTGGGACGTCAATAAAGAATTCTGAGGATCTCATTTTAGTCTTTACAACAGTTTTTGTTGTTGGGGTCGTAGGTCAAATTGTATTTATGTTCACCCAGTTCTATCCTCGGGGATTACCCAGCGTACAAGAGAGGAGAGCTTGTACGCTTCACCATTTTTGGAGCTCTGTCCATTTTCTCCTGGAAGGTTGCAAACTTTAGTTCTTCCCCTTTATTAGCTGTCCAGGCTCGTGTCTCTAAAATTCCCCAGAAATCTGTAAGCAGCGGGGTGTGCTGCTCTTCAGCTGCGAGCTCTCACCAAACTAAGACGGTTCAGCTTGAGATCGTGCCGCTTGCAGTCCTGTCCCCCTGAAAATCAAATTACAAGCAACGCCGAGCGTGTCAGTTCGTCTCTAATCCCCCGTTTGCACAGAAAAGAACAGTTAATCAAGGCTTTGTGCTCAAAACAGCAACACCCCGTTACAAGCTGAGATCGTTTTGATTTGTTTTGTTATTTTTTTTCACCCTCTTCTCTTTCTCTCCATTTAATTAGATGCTTGATTAAAGCTGGGTGTGATATGAGAGCTACCCATGCGAGGCTCATCTTTGATAACTTTTCAAGCAAATTATTTTCTATTATCCTACCATTTAGGGGCAAAATGCTCAATTTCTCCAGGAAAAAAAAGAGGTTGGAGCAGCCTTTGGGCAAAAAAAAAAGATAGAAATTCATATTTAATAGAGAGAAGATGAATGGGGCTTTGAGATGGAGATGAGAAATTAGAGAAAAGATGAAACATTAACTTTGAAGAACAAGACGGAGCAAGTTTAGAGAAGAAGCTGGTATGAACTTTGATTTTAGCCAATTATTTGATGTGAGTTTGCCTCGGTTACCGTTCTGTTCACTGTGCATGAACAGAATGTTGAGGCCTGGTGGAAAAGGCTTAGAGGAATTCACTTCTGTGTCATACCATATTTTTAAACTAGTTTTTAGGTTTTAAAAACAGTTTTCAGGTAATTTGATCAACTTGAGAAAAAGAAATATAAAACTAAAATCTTCAGTGACATCCACTTAGAAAAATGCAATAATTGTGCCATCAGGGATTTTGTTAGAAGTTTTCTAAAGGATGGGCATTTTTATACTTTCCAGACACAAAGACACATTTTACAGCATAGTCAAGTGACTGTAATCTTCAGTTTTGATGAAAATACTGTATAAATCAAAACTTAAAAGAAATTTGACGTTGCATCATAGCCCCATCTGACACCTTGAAATTGGTCTCTGTCTCTTTAAGAACCTCCCACCCTTTTCAACACCCCCTCAAGTCATCACAACGATGCTCGACTGTCTTTGGAGCGTTGTGGTTTGTATAATAACCTCAGCAGACTCTCAGTTCCACCAGGTGTTTGCTAATC